GGAAAAAGCAGGCAGTAGTGTTGAGCAAAAGGATAGAATCTGATCAAAAACAGCTTTAGGAATAATAAAATCTGATCTACTAAAAGGCAATGGAATGACAGGAAGAACAAAGAGAAAAGATGCTCATTTTTAGCCATTTRTTTTTTATTCTCAATTTTTTTTTCAGAACCCACTGCGCTAGTTTTAGTACCTCAGAGTATTAAAATGGCACAGTATTTCTTACAGCATTTCTTACACCCAGTGGACCTCTAAGAAAATGACTACCAAACAATGTGAAGGGCAACAAAAAGGGAGAGGACAGACCCAGGCTCTCCTCATTAGTGTACAGGGGTGAGTGTACTGTACTAGTGTACATTAGTGGAGCTAATGATACAGATACAGACTGCTGTATCAAAAGAAATTCAGACTGGACGCTAAGAAAAYGTTAATTGAGTGTTTCTCAAGACAGTGGTCAAGACTTGGCACAGAAAGGCTGCAGCAYCTCACCCTTGAGGTTACTCGGAATGGGCCAGCACAAGCCCTGAACAACCCTATGTAGTTTAGAGTCGAGTCTTGCTCTGAGCTCAAGTTGGACCGGACTCCTGGAGAGGTTCCACCYGACCTGTCTATGTCTCCTGATCTGCTCCAGCAGAAAGACTGATTAACAACTCAAGCTATTGAAGCATCACTCATATGTCACAAAAGAAATGAGAACATATTGTAGTCTGCTTATAGACACTAGCCCAGCAGGGACTAGGGGCTCAACATTCACCTTTCTGCTAATCTGCTCTAATATATTTCAAGAAACCAGTGTCCAGTCTGAATAAGCYTAATATCACATCTCAGGAAGATAGCTTTAAGAGACTTTGACAAGGAAGGACTCACAAAGTGTGCTTACGACAGCATACCTAACAACTGCATGACCTGCTCTGAAACAAGGCTGTGCCTGAGYAGAGCATGACAGTCAGTGACTCTGTATCAGAGAAACTACGAACCAAGACGGGAATGCAAGGAACAAAATAACAAAAATAGAGCTAATATACCTAATATGGAAACAAAACAACAAAATCCATGCAATTCACATGTCTATCCTTAAATAAGCAGTGTAAATTTACCGTAATTGTAATAAAATGGTCAAAATCTGTTTCTAGCAAATAAAAGATCACAAGTGGCCACAGAAGATCCAGTTCTGACAATCTGGTTCTGCTGTATATAAAAAACATGACTCAAATTCTCAAACAGACTTATACCAGTAGCTAGCTAGGCTAGCCCCTCTTGAGAGGCCCACCCAGGAAACAACCCACTCTCCTTCTACTTAGCTTAAGAAGTGACCAAACTATACCAGGATATGCGGATACAAATATTTTTGCTATTGCTCATGCAAGAAAAATATGGAAAAAGCAGTACCATGCTTCATATTCTGTTCCTCACTTCCTAATCACAGTGACAGGAAAAAGAGACGTAGTGAATTCATTACCTGAGCTCTTTTTGTATCACTGGGCAGAAGCAAGCTGCCTGTTTTTCCATTAAAAGTCCTTGTCTTTGTTTTAATTGGCTCGTTGGTTTCCCGATAAAGCTTCACTGGATATGGTTTATAAGCTTTTTGAAGGAGGCTGTATACACCCACAGTTAGAGAGAGATCTTGGCTCAAATACAGATTTAGCCTGCACAAAAATAAATAAATAAATAAAAAGCARGTGCAGACTTGAGACTCTCAAAGATAATTTTTAGAAGTATGTCATATCCCCACACAGCTTTATTTTCTCAGACCTCCTATTCTGCCCCTCAAAACCACACATATCTCAGAAAAGACRGTATTATTTGCTTCATAATCTCACTTATAGAAAAGCATGCTGTACTTTTKTAATGACAGCTCTAATGATTTACCCTATTTTTTCCATTCTTTTCTAAACTGAAGAGCGATTATCCTCAGGCAGAGCGCAGGAAAAGCCCACTTCTATACCCATTTGTACTGTTTGAAAATGTGCAAATTCACACAGCTGCTCGAGCAGAAGGCAAAATTCCCCCAGAGAGTATCACCAAGATAAAAAATGAAAAAAAAAAGTTCTGAGGGCAAAGCAGTGAAGTAATACAAATGATATTTCCTCCCTTCTAGAAGACAGGTATGGCCTTGAAGTTCATTCCTATACTGCATAGCTAAATCATTCTCCTACAGACTTGTGAAAAAAAAAGTTAAGCGGGTGATTTATATTTCTTTTCATTTCTTTTTCCACTAAAAAAACCTCTGTCTTCTTTGTCAAGATCCCTTTAATCTCTCTGGAAGTACTTCTAACCTTTCAGCTGGAGATAAGAAAAATCAAGGCTGTATGAATCTATTAGCAGATTACCAAATGCCCAGACAGAATGGCCACATATGACTAGYTAGTACTAGGGCAAAAGACCTATCAGATACACTGATTCTTTTTTTCTCTAAGTTAATATTGGTAAGCAAAGCATCACTTCAGCCRGACTTTGCTATAAACTAAACACTGCTATTATGAACTGCAGCTTTGTGGTAGTTGTCTTATTTTGGTGATAGCTTTTTTTTTTTCCTCCAAAATATTTTCTGGCCGAGCTCAATGCATGAGATTTCACACAGTGAGGAGGAGAAAAAAAAAAAAAAAAAAAAAGAGCCCAACTTTACTAACTTTACTCTCCACTGCAATCCCCAAGAGGATCAAAAGCATCGATGCCTTTACAGAACTACCCTTCCAGATGAAGGAGGGTGAGATATAGTCAAAAACACAACATTAGGTTCTTACACGGAATGAAGCGTCACATTTAAAAACACACCTGATTAATGCCCGTTTCTTTGTCTGCTTTGCTCGTACTTTCTTCATGAGTTGTTCCAGTTTCTCTGACTCACACGGCTGGATCCCAGACTCCTCATCCTCTGCTACATTAATGATGTCCCTGTAGAATAAGGAGACATCAAACTTCCCAGATTTCTTCAAGGGCAGCAAGTCCAAGACGATACCTAGAGACAAAGTAAAAGACAGATATGAGCGGGTTCCTCAGCACTCTTAGATGTCTCTATCTATGCAAAGAATTTGAGCACCAAATTGTCACATGMACTGGATGTGACAGTTTCTCAGTGAAAGAGGCAAAAGAGCTTCTTTACCTTCAAAACAGCATAGCACAGAGAGGATACATCACTTCTACTCTATCTTAAATCCCAGGCCTAAGTTAAAGGGGAAAACAATGACCTGTGTCTTTAAGATCACCMGCTCTGGTCCTGGCCAGCTTGGATTTAGCGCTGTCATTGGCGTGAGGGTCATCTGCATTGGTGAACAGCATGATCCTTTTGTGGCTCAATCTCACCCGAACATCACTGAAGAGATTAGAGCAGGCCCAAAGCGCTTCCCCCAGTGAATAGTTGTCATTGTGGCCAAAGGTCTCCCGGAAAAGCTTCTGTCCTTGGTCTCCTCTGTATTTGTCCAGTTCTAGAATACGCTTTGCACCTATAGAGAGCAACAGCATTTGCAGGCATCAGAAATACTGAAAGAATTCCTCCAAGCAAGCACTGGCATGGACTCTGGGGTGCCTTAGCATGAACACTCACTGTTCAGAGGCAGAGACCTGACAGGCTTTGAAGACTTCACTAAAATCTTTTCAGCTTTAGCTGATAACAGGTGAATCACCATGTTAAAACAAAAATAACTATATCAGAAAAGGACAGAATCTCACAAAGTTTCTAAATCTATCAGGAAACAGGAGCATTTTTGTTTTTCTGACAACTCTCTCTTTCCAACAGGTCATCTAGTGACAAGGCCATTACACAGATTTTCTTTTCCTGTCTTCTACATAAACCTTCACATCGCTTCACTGCTTTTTACCTGGATTGTCCAGTTCCTGAAGGACGTAAACATGCTTGAAGTCTGCAGAATTCTTGTTCTTTTCCGTGCCATAGAACACAACACTGAGCAGGTCCTTATCACTACTAATAATTTTGCTGATATACACATTCCGGATGCACTGGAAAGAACGCACACAGGCCAAAACACAAAGAAAGTCAGCTGCAAAACAGTGTGGTAGTTTTGTCTTTAGCAGTTCAGAGTTCATATAAGCAAAATCAAGAACTGCAATAATTCTCTCAAGCTATATGTCAGCTCCGCGACGACGCTCACCTGCATGGTCATGTCAAAGGGGGAGTACTCCTCATCCTCATCACACGGCTCAAACATGGCCTGGGAAGCATCCACTAGGAAAATGAGGCTGTCCCGACCGGCGTATCTGTTCTCTGCTGCGGAAAGGGGGAGGAAGAAACGGCAGCCTCAACAGCTGCCTCCTCCTGCCCGGGGCGCCGGGGGCGGCGCGGCAGCGGCCGGGGCGCCTTACCGGCCTCCTCCGCGCCCTCCTCCTGCTCCACATCCTCCTCGCCCGCGCCCTCGGTCCGGTAGTAGGACTTCCACTCCGACATGGTCCCGAGCGCGGCGGAGCGCGCAGAGGGGGCAGCGCCCGCGCAACCGTTGGCCGTCCCCAACCGCCGCTCCTCCAACGGCCGCGGCCACGCGCGCCTCACCGCCACCTGCCACTCATCGCGGGACCCGCCTCCCGCGGGAACTCTGGCCAATAGCTGGAGGGTAAGTGGTGCCACGCCTCGCTCCTCCCTCGGTTCGATTGGTTGCGGGTGAAGAAGAAGGCGGGAGATGCGGTCTCAAGCAGGAAGAGGCGGCGCGTGCCGGCCAATGACAGGAGCACTGCCCCGTCCCRCCTCCCGCGCCGCTGGCTCCGCCCCCGCAGCGAAGCCCCGCCCCCGGCGCGAACGGCCGCGCTGCCTAGCGGCGCAGTGCCGGGGCGGCGCATGCGCACGGGCGGCGTCGCCGCTTCCGTTCGGCTCTGTCACCTCACAGTCGGTGTCGCCGCGGAGCCGCGAGCAGCGGGGGCGCCGCCGGGCCGGGAACGGGGCCGCCCCGCGCCTCCTCCCCCGCGTCCCTCCTCCCTCTCGCCTTCCCTCCATCTCTCCCGGTGCGCGGGCGCCCCTGGGCCCGGCCGCGGGCGCCCCGCCGCGCCCCGCCGCGCGCGGCCCCCATGGAGGAGCCGCTGGCGCTGCACCCCGTGAAGCTCTACGTGTACGACCTGTCCAAGGGCATGGCGCGCCGCCTCAGCCCCCTCATGCTGGGTAAGGGCGGCGCGGCCCGGGCACGGGCGGGGCGCGGGCAGCCGGTAACGGCCGCGGGGCGGCGGCGGGGGAGCCGCCCTCTCCCGCCCTGCGCCGCGCCGGGCGGCTCCGCTGTCGCCGTTGTCCGGAGGGGCTCCCGCCGCGGCCGTGCGGGGCCCTGGAGGCCCGAGGGCCGCGTGCGGCGGGAGGCCGGGGCCGGCGGCGCCGGGCGGCCCCGCGGGCAGCGGGCTCTGCCCCGAGCTCTGCAGGTGTCGAGGCAAAGGGAGGGAGTTGGAGCCTTCCCCCGGGCCCCTGCCAGCCCGCGGCCTGCGTGACAGCAGCCGCCTCCGCAGGCTCCCTGCGAGCGGGGCGCGCGCTTCGGGGCCCTTTGCCTCATCCTGAATGGAGATCCTCTGCTTTCCYGAAAGCACAAATGGAAAATCCGCCTCCCGCTGTGCGTGCCGGTGGTAGGTGTGCAAGGTCGAACGGTTCATACCCTGCGTGCTACACCCCGTTAGGCAGATGGCAGCAGGGACCTGGCAAGGTTTGCTTTTCCCGCTGGGAATAACAGCCAGACTGTTTTTCCCAGTGGTCGGAGCCAGCTCTGTCACTCCCCTCAGGGAAGCGACTTGCTCACCTGGTAGGTTTTGACCGCTGTGCTTTGGTGTGTGCTAAATAAAGAGTCATAAATCTATATAAAAGATATAGGGTGTGTGTGTGCATGAGATTTAAGTGTGTTCAACTTGAGCTGATTTTAACTATTACTCTAAAATTTGCCCAAGCATGGATTTGTACAGAAATAGGTTGTCAATGTATTTGTCTCCATGCAGCTCTTCACATACAGCAAGGCAAGACTTTTCAGCTTTAATTATTATCTACAAAACAAGCTTTGGTATCTCGTTCCTTTCTGAATTTCTGCATAAAAACACAGTACATGTGTCTACCTATGGTGCCACTTCCCCTGTCCAAACAACAGTTTTAAAACTTAGTGCTTGAGGCAGAGTTTGGCACTATTCTTTTGTGAGTCTGAGTAACAAAACCTTTAAAGTCTGACCACATTTCACCACAGCGTGGGAAATGTTTCTTGTTAGCACTGCCCACTGACTAGTTAAGACATGTGTGTGCAACAGGGCCACCTAGGCCTGCTGGGTCATAGTGACAAGGCAGGCTCCAGAATACTTGGGGTTACGTAGATCCGGCGGCTGGATTATCCATTAAACAACTGATTGTTTATTCCTCACTTCCTTCAAGTTTAAATGGCTTCTGTGCATTTCTTCTCAGCTCTGCTGCTCCTTCACAGCATTTTAGAAATCTCTGCAAGAGCAAAGTGATGAAGAAAATAGTTTTTCCTCTTAAACATACYTGTTTTTTTTCCCATTGAGGGCAACAAAAACTATTGAAACTTCTCTGTACACGAGCTTTCAGGGAATCAATAGCTCTTTTCCCAGTTCTTGTCAGTGGTTGTGCATAATGTCCATCACGAAGGAAGACCACAGAAGTCCCAGGAGAAAGGTCTTGCTGCAGGATGTRGTGCCAAACACTTGCTACCCCTGGGCAGTGCCAGGGGACCACTCACAATGCTCATTCCGAAGATACCAAGTTTGACTGAAGCAGCACTGTTGCTCCGAGTGGTAGTACTCAGATACTGCCTTCTTGAAAGGCAGATGTTTTAGAGATAAGAAAAAATTTGATATGTGGTTGTGCTGAAACCATCTCCTAGCATATTGGAAATCAAACGGCTCCCAGTGTCAGTGGAGGGTGAATCCCACATTGCAGGGCTGACTAAAGCCAGGGTATCGCCACATGCTGCCTCAGTTATGCCGATAGTATCCGGAGGGATGTTGTATTTTGCCAGAACAGTGTTCAGGGATCAGCCTTCTCCACTAAAGAGCACCTTACCTTTATAACCAGTGGTCACCATTGCAGCACAGTGATGAGCCCGAGCGTGATGGTGCCACGCAGCAGTGTTCGGAGCAGGCTTTCGAGGGACCTAGTTGTGGCCTTTGTGCATGTCTTTGCTTTTCTTGGAAAGTTTATTCTTTTGCACCCAGACTGGTTTTGTTCTAGTTCCTCTTCTGTGAGCTTCCTGTGAATATTTTCATTTTTTTTCTGTGAATATTTCTTTTACTGAGGTTTGTGTTTATGAGCACTGTAGTTCAGTTGATCTGCACTATCAGTTATGGCATGTGAGATTTTATTTTTAGCTAATTAGCCTATACAATCCCACGCTCTAATAAAATAACAAATGTTAAAAGGAAAGCAATGAGATTTCTATTCTCAGGACATCTCACCTGATTCTGTGGAAGGTAGTGAAGATAACAGAATAGTTCCACYTGCAATATTGATTTTAAATAAGATATGCAAAGGCAGAGAGGTCTTGAACAAAGATTGCAAACCCATTATATCAGGAGCTTAAAGTAAAATGTCCTGCAGCCTCCTGAACTCTCCTCTTCTGTAGCTGAGCCTCTTGTGCGTGTGATTCAGTGCAGGGGCAGAACTTCATACTACCACAAAGGTTTTCGCTATGTGCAGTGTGTGTTAACAATCATTTCMATGTGAATATATTTTAATTGGAGCTTTTAAATGATGCCTGCAACTAGCAGGACTAAAACCAAGTGCATCGCTCTTGCCCGATCCAGCCTATTTGTGGATCTCTCTAACCACGTCGGCGAGAAAGGACCTGAAGCAGGGTAGTCCTGYGTCTCAGTTGGACGCCTTGAGCTCACGTGAGGGAAACTGCTTGACTAATTTGGTTAATTTTCCATCCCCAAAGGGCAGGGATTTTAATGTCTTGGCCTAAGGAAATCTCAGCAATATGCAAAACAATGCACTGCTAGATATACYGCAGCTGGCTGGGGATGTTTTGTCACCCCCAGCTTCATGGGAGACCATTCACTCCTCGGGTCTCCTACACCATGTCCATTGCAAAGTATAGACACACTATTAAAAAGATTACATTTCCATGCATATTATTTCCTTACTTTACAGCCCAGGAGCTGATGATGTTCTTGCACRAGGGAGAGATGACATCAGTTCTGAACAGGATAAACTAAGTGCCCTCTCGTTACATAATTCTCAGAACTGTGCTGTCCTTCAGCCTGATAACTTGGTTTAATGCAAAAACTCAGCTTTAATTTGACGTTTAAAATATGCAGAAATACACTGCACTGCATGACCCTCAAGATTAACAAGTTAAGTGTGCCAGAAAAATAGATTGGTAAGCATCTAATCTTCCTTCTGCTTGGCCTTCCAGATAAATCCAAGCATGGAAGTAATCTGATTTGATTGTATTCCAGAATTGTACAGGCTGTTAGGCTTGTTTTTTTTTTGTTTGTTTGTTTTTTGTTTTGTTTTGTTTTTGCAAAATAACCTTGCTGCCCAACGGTGGCTGTGTCCTGACTCGGTCGCAAAGCAAGAAAACGTGTCTACCTCGTTCTGCACAGCCCTGCGTGTAAGCCGAGCGTCCTGGGGCTGTTGTGCGATTCGCACGTTGTATCTTTCTCGTACTCCCACAGTGTGTCRGTTGGCAAGAAACCTCTTTGATCCCTGTTGTAAAGAAAAATAGTAGCAGCAAGCAGTAAAAACCCTGTAATTGTTAGATGCCGTGTCACATCTTTCAAACACTGGAATCTCTGAGGCCGCTAGCATGCCTCTTTGAGCTGGCACAAGAGTAACTTCAGGAAAGATCCATACAAGCATTTGAGCTAAGTATGGAAAGAAAGGTATGTAATCAAACTTTCAAAGCTTGACAAGTTCCCACCCTAAACTCTTCTAGCTACTGCACAGTGCCTTTGTCACTGTATGTTTAGACTGTGACAAATGCCAGGTAATTTAACTTACCTAAGTTTGTAGTGAAAGCGGATCATCGCCCCACCCTGGCATTCCTATTATACATTATATACATATGGAGCACTGGGATATTTTTGCTTTAGGCATTGAATTCAGAGTAGTTCCTGCAGCCATCATCCTTTGGACRTTGAATGGGAATTGTTGGAGAACTGGACTTTTCTAAATAGTTGCAGGCAGCCTGTGGGCAGCCGTGTTGGTTTTGGTGGCAGTGCAGCCTCAGGCAGCTCCGTCGCGTTGCAGCCTGGCACAGGAGGTGGGAGYGTTGCAATGAGAGGTGGAAGAGCAGGAAACATGATGATGCCTGCTGCTATCCCAGTTACCTGTCACCATCCCTCTCCTGGATCGTGCTATGGGATGTAAGCCCTGTTTGCACTGTAGGATTGTTTAGGGAGTATCCCTGGCGTGACCTTCAGCTTCCAAAGTTGGGCAATGCAAGTGAGATCTAACTCATTAGTGTAGTCTGTCCTGGTTGCTCTATTTGGGCTGCTCAGCAGTGGCAGTGCTTGTGTCTAGGTGAGTTGTCACCTGACCTGTGCGGTGCCTGGGTTTGGGAGAAGAGTCACAAAGGAGGGTSACCCGTGAAGGCAAAACTTCAGGAGGAGGATGATGGTTTTCTAGAGGCCTGTGAGTTCCCAAGTGTGCTGGCAGTGTGGGGGCTTACGTGGCGTTTTATGAGCAGCACCTCTGGCTGCACACTGGCAGAGAAGGGTTTTGTTCTGCCCACAGTGGCTGGAGGGCTCTCATTGATGCCTTGTTGTCGTGGGCGCTGCTGATGTGGCGCGTGTTGCCAGCTCGGTGATGTCATTCAGGAGCCGAGCAGAAATAGCCGGTCAGCAGCTCCACGAATATCCCGAAACCGGTACTTGGCACAACGTGAGCTCTTGCCTTGGCAGCTGCTGCCTGCTGCAGAATGTGGGACTGGGCTGTAACAGCCAGAGAGGAGCCCTCCGGGTCGGACTACAGCCTAAGGCCAAGTTCCTTTCCTGGATGCTCCTGGCTCTCTAGGCCAACCCCCTGCTCAAGGCAGGTCCAGTTGGAGCGGGCTCCCCAGGGCCTTATCTGGTTGAGTTCTGAATATCTCCAAGGATGGAAATCACACATCCTTGCTGTTCCAGGGTTTGAACCATCTTTTCTTTTAGGGAAAAAAATAGATYTTTTTTTCTTTTACTGTGTTGGGAACATCTCATGTTCCAGCTTGTCTGGGCACTTCTGAGCAGGGAGATACTCCCTCTTCTCTTTTACCAGTTAGGTGGTTGCATAGACAGCAAGAAGACCTCTTGGCCTTCTCCTCTTCAGACTGAGCAAACCCAGTTCTCCCAGCCTTTCCTCAGGACTTCATGTTCTCCAGCACGGTATGTCAGTGTCTAACTTGTACTGGGAGAGGAAGGAGCTGGACGCTGTGACACTTGAACACTTAGTCTCCCAAATGCCGATAGAAAGGAAGAATCCCCTCTCTTGAGGTTTTGCTGGAACAGCCCAACMTTTGGTGGCCTTTCTTGCTACAACAATCTTTGCAAGAGCAACAGGCATCAAGTGAGTATTGCGGTTTTAGAAGCAGCAAGTGAAAGCTTTATGGAAAGCCCTTTGCCATTGCTTGCTGGAAATGTGTTTGCACACATGTGCAGCAGTAAGCACTAAGTGCAGAGATTTCTATAAGCAGTGGGTCTTGGGGTATTTATCCCCTCCTGTTTCTCTACCAGGATAGCTTTGGGTGTTGTAGGCAGCACTTCTTGGTAAGTCCTTTTTCATAGGTAAGAAAAAAAGGAAGAAAAGAAACCCCCAACTTTCTCTCTCTTGTCATTAGAAGCAGGTAAAACAGAGGATGAAATTGATACGGACAATCCTTAGAAGAGCTCTAAGAAAGAGATGCTTGTGTGTCCAAGCAAGGCACGAACAATGACTTTTAAAAAACTTTTGTTTAAGACAGTTACCTGCTTCAGATAGGGGTGATGCAGGAGCGCGACCAGAGCAAGGCCTGTTGTGACCACAGGGACATCAGTCGGCGCAGAGCGCGGCCGTGGCCGGACTGACCCGTCCCTGCCGTGCATCGCAGCCAGCCTTGTGAAGACTGACCAAAAAGATGAAGGGCCAGAGCAGAGGGGTGCTCACTCTAGCCAGCAGTTCAGGGAAATGCCACATACGGTTTTGCATGGTTATTTTGCTTTAAAACCCCTTTTCTGTGTGTTGTCCCTTGTTTAGCAAATCAAAATTATACCATGTTTGTGTTATAGCACGCTGCCTTTGCCTAAAGGGTGGTGTTATTAAGGACTAAACCCTTAGTTTATGGTTAAGTGATTTAACCTGGAGCAGTACCAGGTAGTGACCTTTYACAGACCGGTTTCATTTTGAGATTTCACCCTGGAGGAGGATAGGTTTAGTCTTCCTATTGGAAAAAGATACCTTCAGAGGTCTGGAAAAGCATTTCAGAAGGGACTTTTTATCTAAGACAACATAATATTATCAATCTAGTAATGCCCAAAAAAAATCTTTGCTGATGATGGTTGTGTTCTACAAAGGTCTTAATTTAGTTTTATAGCTTCTGTAAAGTTCAGTCCTGCAAATGATTTGATTTTCTTTCCTTTTAAGAGGGAGGGAAAGCCATGGCATAGATTGTGGAGACTTTCGCCCACAGATCCTCGGTTCAAGCCTGATTTCTCATCAGTTATTTAAAAGGAGAGCTGAGTACTCTGTGCTAACTGCCTGCAAGTCTGAAATGAGTGTGAAACTCAGCTCTGCGCATCCTGGCTGGGTACTCTTAATTTTAGCAAAACGTCCCCCACRTCTTGGTCTGTAGATAAAAGGTGAACATTGGCAGGATAGGATGGCACTGCCAGCTCCTCAAGCAGGAGGAGAAAAGTAAGGCACAAGTGTGGGCAGAGTAGCTTGCTTGAAAGAAAGACGTGCTGCTGCTTTTGAAGCAGCTCTGCAATGAAAGTTGTGTYTCTGAGGGTACTATGGGGCTGAAGTAATAGGCAGGATACCTTGGTGACTGACAGAAAGGAGGCTGAAATCTGGGAATTACATTGCTAATAATGCTTCCTTTCTCTGCTTACAGGGAAACAGCTGGATGGCATCTGGTAAGTGACTGGATTTAAGTTACATAATGTATGTTAAACACTGTACAGCCTAGGAAGTGTTTTCAATATGAGATTATATATGCTTCAGACCTTAAGTAAGCTGATGCTGAAGGACGTGGGAACTTTTTGCTCCTGAAATWGAGTAAAATGATGTACAGTCAGGTACCTGTTGCTCTTCTGGAGTCAGAGCTCCGTGGACCCCACGGCTGTGTCATTTTACTGCTCTTGTGTCCTTTTGTAGGCTGGGATGCTGTCCTCATCCCAAACATTTTATCTGCTAATTGCAGGCATGGCTAAGCATGACAGTGCAAGAGGAGGTGGCAGCACCACATGGTACTTGGGAGCTATGACTACATTCAGTTACAAAACATTGCTCACTTTGCTATAATTTGCATCCAGGAATGAAATAAACAGAACAAAAATCAAAGTCCATCCATCTCCCATGCCTCTTCAGCAATTGCCCAGACTTTCCTAGGTTGTGGCTGTCAGCCAGACACGGCTTCCTCTGGCAACGTAGTAGTGGGGCTGGCGCCATCTCTGTGGCTCCATCCTTGTGTCTTTAGCTGAAGGAGAGCCTGGAGTCTCCTTTTCTTGCCACGTTCATTGGTGCTTGGGCACCACCCAGCTGAACCTCTTTTTTCCCCATCTGCAGTGTTACATGAGGCTTGAGAATCACTGTTTTCATTTCTGCTGGTGTCCCAGGAGATGCTGCTCCTAGTCACAGAAACACCTTCACCTTGTCTTTCAAAGTTACTCCCTTCCACGATGTCCTTGAGCATGTGAACTTACCAATGGCTTGTATGTTAGATGAAATATTTCCTTTGTTTCACCTCCTTTCTGTGCTTTTTGGCAGGCACACCTCTATTATAGTCCATAAGGATGAGTTCTTCTATGGCAGCGGGGGAATCTCCAGCTGTGCACCTGTAAGTTAAACTTTTTACTTTTTTCTGATAAAATAATTTTGTCGTAGGGTTAACTGAACAGAATTTTGTTGCTGTCCTTCAAAAAATCAGTAAGTGAAGAGACTTCTGAATTCAGCCAGCTAAGGCTCAGTGGTGGCCCTGGGCATCTAGGGAAAGGAATGTGAATGATGCATTTAAACCCAAATAAATGGAGGTTGGGGCTTACTTCAGTGAAGGTATCCTGGGTAGAGAGACACTGTCAGCAGCTGCTTTGCCTGATCAACATCTCATCTAATTCTGTATGGACAGTTTTTGCCTGCAGACTGGCAACTCAAAGCATCCTTTTAAAAATAAAAAATCCATAATGCTTCGACAGCTCTTTCTCTTCTTGCAGAGGCAAAACCAATGGGCTGCCCTTTTAAAGTGAAATTTTGCCATAGTTTAGAGCGTTCAGCTTAAAGAAGCCAGTGTGCAAGTTGCATGTTCTCTCTTATTCTCCAAGTGCAGAATGAGGGAAGCCAGTAGAGCTCTGTACTTGACAAACATATTAAAAGTTCCTCCTTTGTGCGTGGGCAACCCATGACAGCTCTATTCCATAGAATCCTTCAAAAGAAAGTATTCTGTCCATTTAATGTTTTCTTCTGGCTTTTAATTCTTGCAGGGGGGGACACTGCTTGGCCCTCCAGATTCCGTTGTTGACCTGGGGAACACTGAAGTCACAGAGGAGATCTTCCTGGAATATCTTTCCTCGTTGGGAGAATCTATGTTCCGGTTAGTAGCAGCTTTTCTGGTAAAATCTGCGTACCGAGAAAAGTGCCTGGGAGCAGAAGGGAGGAAGGTGTTGGGAGACCAACCCTATGCCCAAAGGGCTACTGGTATTACACTACTAATGTAATACTTGGTGCCCTCTAAACCCGAGGCTGGAGCTGATGTGCTGGTGCAGTGAGCTGCGAGCTAGCAGCCCTCCAAGGTGCTGTGCTCTGCTGGGAAACGTTCTGCCGGAAAGCTCTCACGCTGCAAAATGGGATGATGCCTGATGCCTCTCTGAGAGGATCATCAGAGAAAGTGAAGGCAGTGTATGAAATGTTTCAGTAAACAGTGCTTTCTGAGTCAGAGGCAAAGTGTTGTAGGAGAGCTGCCAACTTTCAGATGAGTAAAATCGAAGTCTTTACTGCTAAAGAGTCTAGTATGCTCTCCACAAGAATAGGGAAGTGTAGAATTGAGTGTTTGGGCTAAATTTCACTGTCAGTAGTTCCTGTGATTTCTCTTCATTCCTTCTGTGGTTTTAAATGAAGAAAGCTGACCTCACTTACCCTCCACAAAAGCATTTGTCTGGTGTCAGTGATGCACTGATGTCATTGTCCACCCTGATTCAATTGAATTTGAAGGTGAACTGACTTCTGTATTTTGCCTTTTTGCCTTAGAGACCTTTGGCATGAAAAGTGCTAATGTCAGGTGATGTTTCGCATTAGTGGTCTAAGGTTCTCTGCTTGTTAGATTTAAGGCTGAGTCTGTCTTTCCATGTTTCAATTCCTTTCCTGTGGCACAGAGGAGAGTCTTATAACCTCTTTGAACATAACTGCAACACCTTCAGTAATGAAGTGGCACAGTTCCTGACAGGAAGAAAGATCCCTTCCTACATCACCGACCTTCCAGCCGAGGTGCTTGCCACGTGAGTATGAGTTCCACTTCTCTCTGTAGTATCTTGCTTCATGCTAACACCTAATATTCCACCGATGCCATAGTGCCAGTTTCTGCTAATTCTCCATTGTGCTTCATGAAGTGAGAGAAAGGAGGCAACTTGCTCTATTTTTAACCCTTATAATACTCTGTACCATACTCTGTACCTCTGTACCAGCTGCCCTGGAATTGCCTGGAAAATTAAAGAATTGAATGAGTTGTATTGAAAGATAAACCAGGTGCTACACGTTGCAACAGAAATTATTCTGCAAGTACTGAACCACTGTTCAGTAAGGAGGGGCTAGAGGCTGTTCTTCTAGCAGAATCTTTAACATTGATGTGGTACTTAAGTGTGTGAACAAAATCCAGCCTATGACACTGAAAATGTTCATTAAATAGAGTGCGTTACCAACAGCTGGTTTCAAATGTGGTATTATCACGTTAGCACATTAGTGTTCTCTAGTTTATAGTGAGATTTTATTCTTCAAATTTGCTTCTATAAGACTGATTGATTCTGCTCTAGGAAGTGAGTGCATTTCCATGGTAAATGGGACAAAATGTTCTTCAGGGAACTATTTGAATTTTTTTTTGTTTCTTTGCCTTCTCAGACCTTTTGGACAAGCTTTAAGGCCACTCCTGGACTCCATCCAGATCCAGCCACCGGGTGGAAACACCTTCAGCAGACATAATGGACAGAGCTAACAGGAGTGACCCGGTGTGCCCAGCCTCACCAGGCCTCTTCCTTTTTAATCATGAATTACCAGATTTCTATTTTATAATTTACCATCAGAATTAACTCTATGGAAATGACAAGATAAGTTTTCAAATTTCCTAGGGAGAGGATTTATCAGGGTGCATGGAAGACAATGCTACCAAAAAGATTGCCATAATTTCTAATAGTATTATACTAACTTATAAAGGCTGTCTTGCCCGAGTAGACTGTCACTTTTGAAATAACTCCCATGACAGTAAAGTGAGGATTCATTCCATGAACGTTCAAGGGCCCATTCTACAATTTGGGGTAAATAAGGGGATATTCCAGCCATCCATTGCCAGGCTCACATCTCTATCTCTTGTCACTACATGTATTATGGTGACATTTACTCATGCCTGTAGCAGAACGACAAAGGAAGCATTTGTGGCCTGGAAAGCAAAGGTCTCCCAGGGTTGGCCTGCTGTGTATTTCATTGACCTTGCGTTGTCTGCTCAGGGGAAAAGCTAAACTCATCTGATTAGAACATTTGAAATGACATAGCTCTGTGGGGAAGGTGGCCTAATTGAACTAACTGTCCCTCTCAACACTGCACCTTTCAATGAGATTGAGGAGGGGAAGGGAGGGAGAGGCTGCAGATGAAAATCAGCAAGAGCCACGTCCTGCCAGATCCAAGAATTATGAGAGCTGAAAAAACGATCTCGTGAGCAGAGATGGTGGAAACACATTTGGAGTGAGATGAAAACAAAGTGAAAAGTTTCTTTTTCTCCCGAGCAAGCTTTCTAGCAAATGTAAAGAATCTTAATAACTATCTGCCCTCACACAAGAGCTGGTTTTGCTCACGATGCCAAATTTGCAGTACAGGAAGTCAGGAATAGCACAGCAACTACATAATAATACAAGATAGGCCAATTTTGCCTTCAGTATCCAGTTGCAGCTACAGTAGGAGTTGCAACTTTCTCAGATATCACTGTCCTTTCCAAAGCAGTCACATCCAAAGCAGGACTCTAAGTGTAAGAGAAATAGGTATCTATCTGGCCTGCCCAAATCTAAAGAAAATGTGCAAGTCTAAACTTGAGCTTTTTCTGTGAAACAGCTGCATTTATCAGAACACATTCAGAAGCAGTTTTATCCTCAGAATGACATTAGATTGCACCTGTACAGCATCTCCCAATTTGAGTCTCCTAGAGCTTTGTTGTTATTTGCAGTGGGAAAAGATTAGGGAAAGAATAGTCACGTTCACTTTTCATGCATCTATATATACTTTTACCTGGACAACTCTGTAGCAGTTCCTTTTAGGAAGGAACACAGGCAAAGAGTCATCAGACAACTGGAACATTCCCCAAATCCAAAAGTGCTGCTGATTCTCCATAAAGGGGGATGCACATGCTGGATGCTGCTGATAAAGCGTCTATGCAAGTGTATAGCCCATTGTCCAGTGCTTTATTGTGAAAAGAATTGCAGCAAGTTCAGTCCTGCACCTTAAATGTCCCGCACTGGAAAACTCCTGTGTACCTAAAGTAGATAACTTCTATCTGTGGGACACCTTCTCCCCAGGTAATAACTCTTTCATGCTATTATTCCATGAGAACTATAATCATTCATACTTCTCTGCGGATGGAACAGAGGAAAACTACAGCTAACTGAGGCTGCATCAAGTATTTTTTTTGCCCTGCGTCTTGTGAAATCACTACCTACATAAAAACAAGGTACTGTCAGTGCATTCTGCAGTTGGGATTGTACCTGCTCTCAGTGCACAGCAGTGGTCGCTGCAGCCCAAAATATTTTTCCTCCTTCTGTCGTTCTCTGCTTGTGCCATGAACTTCTCCTTAAGCTTTTTGATGTGCTGGACTCTGAAACAGCTTTAACGGTTAGTTCTGGACTACACGAAAGCTCTCAATCCTTCCTCCATTTTCGCTACTGAAAGTCAGCGTTTGTGGAGGAGGGACAGGGGGGAGTCGTTCAGTAATAAAACATCTGTGAACAGCTTTTGGTGCTCTTGGAGGAGGAATGGGTAAGTGTTTGCGTTCTGCTAAGCCATACCTTCATGTTCCTGTTCTCTATAGCCCCTCCAGTCTTTTCCCATACCTCTCTTGTGAGGAGTACCTGGTCTCTCACCTGTGGTAGGTGTCTAAAACGCAGTTACAGGGGAGATCTTGGAGCTTCCCCAGCCGAGCAGGTCTAGCCAGTTTGATAGGGCACAGCCCCATGGAGGTGCCTTGTCTTTCGGCACAACTCTGTTTGCAGTAGCCACAGAGCTCCGAGAGGAGCTCGCACGGGGCACCCTTGTGTCTGCACCTACTCTGTGGCAAAAGACCATCAGGAGGGGATGCTGCTTGCTTGGACTTACTGAAGAGAGAGATCCCTGTGCTGGGTTAGGCCTTTTAGAAACCTGCCTTCTCCAAAGACGGATACGGGAAGAGTGTAGAACTGTATTCCCAACATTCCACCCAGCCATACTTATTTATAGGAATATAAGGTAGAATGAGAAATGTATGTAAGTGTATATAAGCCAAGAATTTCAGCCAGTTGATTGACAAAGGGGCAGGGAAGCTGAACTCCTGGAAGAGAGCAGAACCCGTTTGCCCCGGTTTACTGTTCTGTCTTGTGTTATTGGGGTTCCTCCGAACCATTTTAAAAATGTTAAGAACATCATCAGAAAGTGATGTTTTAGGGGTTTCCCCCCCTTTTTTTTTTTCTTATTATAATAAACAGAAATAAGCAGTGTTCCTGTTTGTATGTGTGTGCCTGCACAGCTGCCCAGGAGCCCCTCACTTCCCTCCTCTCCCACTGGGAAACTGCAGCCGCCCTAGGAAGCGGTGCCATGTTCTGCTGCTGGAAGCAGTGCCGRTTCCTGCCCTTTGCTGGTCGTGCTGATACTCCCTCCTAAGCAGGGGGAGACTGTTTTGGTAAACAAGACCTGCATGTTGGACAGTCATTGCTCATCTGGGTGAGCCAGAAAGAAAATACCTGCTATTGAGGAAAAGGCCCAACAGGGTTTGAACACAATCCAGGCTCAGACTTCATCCTGATCATCTCAGGGCTGACACTTTTAAGGGAGGAAAAGCAAACAAAAAGCTTTAAGTAGCTGTCATGCTTGGTGCCTGCAGCTACAGAGGCAATATTGGTGGTAGGATATTGAAGAGGGAATGCGTGGCTCTGGAGCAGAAATACCTTGTGCTTGGGTGAGCCTTTTGGATGCTTCCTGAGGGCCCGGAGATGGTAACTCGCSAGTTCCCCATTCCTGCAGCGGTCTGTATCAGCTCTAGTAGAAAATGGCTTCTCACAAAGGACACGTGATTGTGGTTATTTTGGGCTGTGCTCTTCAGCTGTGACGCGGATCCACGAGCGAGTGCCGGTGTTTGCTCCATGTGAAATACCTGGGAACACCAACAAAGGAAAGCGTCAGCTGTAATGGCAGCGCKAGGCAGAGGTCGGCACTCGGGCACTTGCCTTCCCTTTGGGAACCCAGAGTTTGCTCTTGCTGCTGCTTCTGGGCTCTTTATCCCCAGCAGCAGCAGCTGCTGCGTGTGCAGAGCGCTCCGGGGAATGCGTGGAGGGATCCACATGCCACACAGGGGTGCTCTAAATGTGGCTGTGAAGTATTAAATAACTAAGCCCTGGCAGCTGTGTCCTCAAGAGCTAATTCACTCAGGAGCAAACACAGTGGCACACACCTAGCCCTGAGGCAGGCAATACTGTGAAGGTGCCAGTGCTCACCTGCTTGCATCCCATGGCATTGAAGCATCCAGGGAGATGATTTGRATGGAGTTTTTAAAGCCACATGACAGAAACAAGGTGGAGAAATCAAAGCAAAGACAATGACGATCTGCAAAGCGGTGTGACTTCGCTGCAGGGCAGCCGTGTGTGTTAGTGGCCTGGCTGCCCCAGCGAAGGGCCGGGAGGTGGCCGTGCCACCGGGTCTCTGCGGGACGGAGCTCTGCCCTGGCGCGGACCCGCTTGTGCCATGAGGGGAGCTGCTCCTGCGCCCAGCCCTTGCAGAGGCTCTGCTTCCACCCGCCGGGAGCGAGTGGATTTGCAAGGCGGTGCTAAGGGGAAAGGTGCCCATAAGCAAGGCCTTCGAAACAGACCCCTGCTTGGCCCCAGGTGTCAAGGAAAGACTGGCACCCAGATTCCCCCAGGGACAGGGTCCTCTCTGTTTAACCCCAAATTACCTACAGTGGTGGGACTGCTCCATGCTGCACTGGAATGGGGACATAACATGCATACACACAGCAATATATTTTAGTTCCAATTCTAGTCTCCACATCTATGCCAAATTCCCTTCATTTGTTCTGCCCCCTTTCGGAACCAGATTCATAATTTTATAACAGGGAAGGTGCACGTGGTTTGCAGGTGAGATGCTGAGGCCAGGCAGCAGCCAACAAACTCCTCACCTCTCCCTCTCCCTCTCCCTCTCCCTCTCCCTCTCCCTCTCCCTCTCCCTCTCCTCTCCTCTCCTCTCCTTTCCTCTCCTCTCCTCTCCTCTCCTCACATTTGACAATGGGAGAATGCAAAGTATATTCTGATATCTAGGAGTCCAAGAGGGAAGAAGAGCGACCCAATAATAACTGCAAGGCCAAGCACAACGGTTTGCATTTTTATGCAGCCCCCCGGTGTTGCTGTGTGTCTGACTCCCGCACTCTGTTTGGAGAGCCTGGGGACTAGGAGGCAGCTCCGATGCATGGGGGAACAGCAGGTTGCTTCCTGGCAGCACAGCAATCCGGATGCATGAAGGTGACTGCTCCTTCTTCAGCATGCGATGGCAGACATTGCATTGAAATATTCATATTCTGGAGTAAATCTTCACACCCTGACTAATCGGGGAGAAAGCACACGCAGGTGAGCCTTGCAATAGAGCATAATCTTAAACCGCATTAAAAATTAAGCATAAATTTCAAGCAGTCCGAAAGTTTCAGTGCATCCAAGCCCAGAGCGCAGTGTTTGAGCGCAGGTTATCGCAACCAGGCCGGGGAGGAGGCAGCCCAGGAGACAGCGATTCTGCAGAGATGTCGATGCCAGGGTGTCACAGCTTGTAACACCTCTCTGAGGCCACTCGATGCGTCTGTTTGAGGCAGACGAGCCTCTTGCTGCTGTCTCAACTACTTGCATTGCCAGCAAGTGAGGTTTGTAGCACGTGAGGCTGTAGCCCCAGCTCAGCCAGAGGGGGAACAAGGTGACCTGGGGCCAAAGCAGACACCACATCAGGTACTTTTCAGAAATTAGCTTTGCATTCTGCTTCTCACAAGATAACAAGTGCTGCTGCCTGGACATGGGGAGGGACTGGAACCCCTTCACATCCCGAACTTCTCTGTAAAGGCAAGCAAGACCGTGCCTGTTTCATGCCCCTGTGAGACTCTGAAAACTCAAGTCTTTTGTGCAGGATGGTGAACGCTCACCATGGGGCTTGGAGCTCCCCCGGGTGCTCCCTGCCGCGGCGCTGCTGCCTGCTGCGACACGACAGTGTCAAGAGTTTCCTTTCCAGTGGGATTCTTTGTGACATAAATAARCCAGAGTCCTTATATACCCTGCTATGGCTTGTGGCACCATCTCCARGCGGTGTCCATGCTTCCCCCGCTGTTTCAGAGGCCTCCACAGCTCTACTTCCATGCCTCTCCAGTCAACATCGTGCAAAATGAGGTCCCTGCCTTGTGGAGCATCCAGAGGAGCATCCTTGTGATCCAGGAACATCCTTGAGGAGCATCCAGAGCGACCCACAGAGCTCGCAGCCACTGCCCTCCCAAGGATGTACTTCCCCCATCTCACTTCCCCCAGTGCTTTTCCCTGCACGCTCCTCAGGAAATATGGTGAATATTGGCATAGCAGGCCAATGGCATTGAGATATATATATATATWTTTAATATTGTTCTAGTATGCATGTGGAAAAAAAAACAGAATCACTAGTAAAGATGGAGTCTCAGAAGCCACCCGAACGCTTCATTTTGAAACAAACTTGGCAAAGAACTGGGGGAAAAAACAAACGTTGCACAATTTTCTAGAAGCAAATAATACTCAGAAAAACCTATCAGATTCTTCTCCCAGCTCCAGCACATCCAGCACAGCTAGAGCATGTCCAAGGGAGAGAAGGAAAGCAAAGCAACGGGCAAAAAAAAAGACTGAAAAATCCAAATTGTCACTGCTGTTAGAAGGGAATTCAGGCAAGAGCGGGGTTTTCATACGGCACTGCTGCTCGGCAGGCTCCCTGCCGTTATGTAACAGGCCTGCAGAACACTGAACCTTGTGAATATGATTTTTCCAGATGGCCCAATTAGATCCCAAATTACTTGCGGGGTAACTGCCAAGCGGGTCACAGCAGAAGTTGCTGCAAAGAACGGACTCRCCTTAGTGCAGAAAATGTGAGCTGCTCACGGAAGAGGAGCTTGTTAGGGCACCTTCAGAGGCAGGAACAACAAACGGTGCCCGCTGCTTCCTCCTCCCCCTCATCCTCTCCTCAGGGGAGTGAAATTCCCGGCGGACTCCAGCTTGCCGGGTCTCTCCATCCCTCTTTGCAGCCCGGATCTACAGGGTGGCACGGGCGGGAGGCGCTGCAGCGCCCGGGATAAACCCGCTCTCCGCGGGCAGAGCTGCTTGCGCGCTAATCAAGCCGGGTATTTTCCAGCGCGCCGGGCAGGACGCGTTATTTACAACCGCGCTGCCGCCGCGGGCGGGAAGCGAAGCCCGCAGGGTGATGCTGACGGGATTAGGGGCACAGATACCGCTATGAACAGCCCCCCACCCAAACCCCACTGATAACCCCCCCCAAACACCCCCCAAGGCGCCCGCGCGCGGGCAGCGCGGCCCTCGGGGCGCGCTTGGAAGCGGCGGCGGATCCGCGGCGGGGCCGGGCAGCTCCGCGGCGGGGCCGGGCCGGGCGGATCCGCGGCGGGGCCGGGCAGCGGCCGGCAGCCAGGCTGGCAGGGGGCCAGCGCCCCGGCCCCGGGCAGCGCTTTGGCAGCGGGGCTGGAGCGCGCGACGCTGCCCACCCCTCTGCTGCACCTTGCAGCCGCGGCCCCCGGGCCGCCCCCGCGGAGGCCGAGCAGCGGCGGCGGCGGCGGCGATGGCTGCGGCGGGGCCCCGGGTGCTCTGTCTCTTCGACGTGGACGGGACCCTCACGCCGGCGCGGCAGGTACCGGGGCCGGCGGGAGCCCCGCGGCGGGGACAGGGACGGGCACGGGGACAGGGACAGCCGCCAGCAGAGGCGCCTTCCTCCAGGGCATGCGGGAGCGCAGCGGCGGGACGGCGGCGCGCGCGCTCCTATTTATTTTTATTTACCTTTTTTTTTTTTTTTTAAAAAAAATACTTCCAATCCWCCTACATCTTTTATAACTGTTCTCAACGATAGGCCTTTTTTTTTAATTATTTTCCTTTTTGGTTTTTTTTTTCATTTATTTATTTTTATTTACGCTGCGAGAGGGCTGTACCCAGCCGTTGCGCTTGGTGCCATCCGTGCAGGCTGGCATGGTGTGGGGCACAGGCAGCCCAGGCGCCCCATCGCCGTGGGACCCCCGTGGGGGGCACGGGACAGCCCCCCTCCTGCCCAGTGTCCCCCCAAGCTGGGGCAGTTGGTGGCGCAGGGGGGCACTTGGCGCTTCCCGCCGTGGGAAGCCGCCCCGCGGTGCCCTCGCCCTGGTCTGTGAGCAACCTGGGCTGCAAGGGCCTGGGGGGCTGCGTTTCCCTGCTCCCCTCTGCCCCTGGGGCTGCACGAGGCCCAGCCCAGCGGGGAGCGGGAACCGGGAAGGTGGGGAACCGATATCCGCCCTCCTGTGGGCAGAGGAAAAGGGTCGCAGGTGCATCCAGAAACCACCCGCGTTGGGGTTTCCTCCTCCTCCACTGCCTGTCCGCCCCTCTGGCTTCCCGCCATCCTACCCCAAYGGCGTGGGGTGGAGACCCGCTGCCCTGCACGAGCGCGGCACCAAGCAGCGGGGCCCTGCTTGCACGTGGGAGCCACGTTCCCAGCCAGCCCGTGCCCGGTTCCTGGAGGCTGCTGTGGGTGGAAGCAGAAAGCCAAGGGCTGCCGTTTTGCCCAGCCCCAGGGGTGTTTCGGGAGGGGGAAGGACAGACCCCACTGCTGCCGGGGTGGCTCTGGCGYGCGCGCCCCCGGGGCCTGCAGCCCCTCTGCCTCCCCCAGCTGCAGCCCAGCCCGGCCTTTTTGCTCCCTCCGCTCCAGAAAATCGAGCCAGAAGTGGACAAGTTCCTGCGGGAGCTGCGCGAGCGTGTGAAGATTGGCGTGGTGGGAGGCTCGGACTACTCCAAGATAGCCGAGCAGCTGGGCGAGGGTGATGAAGGTGAGAGGCGCTGGGCAGGGGTCGGGCAGACGCTGGGGAGGGCAGGAGCTGGTGCACATTTTGGAGGCTCTGGGACTTCTCCGTCTGCCAGCACGGGGGGCCTCTGTATCCAAAGGCATCACGTGCACCCAACGAGCACCATTTTTCGTGACCGCTGCCCTTTGGCCGCTGGCAGGGCCCAAGGAGCTGCTGTTTAAAGTCTAAATAATGTCTGCTGAGAGYAGGCAGGATCCGTGGGGCAGGGTCCATGCGGCCACCCCCCTTGGGCTCTTGTGCTGGGCTGGAACCAGGGCCGCAGCAGCCGCGAGAGCTGCTGGACCGGCCGCGAGCAGCATCGAGCAGGGGACGAGCCACGAGCGCCGACGGCGCTGGGAGGTAGGGCAGGGCCTGGGGGAGCCAGGCAGGCAGCCCGCGCTCTCTCTGCCTTGTTTTCCTCTCCAGTATCAGCATAAAACACGCGGCTGGGTACTAAGGTCTCTCTTCTGCCCCATTAGTGGAGGGAGGCCACACCGTGAAGCAATTYAGCACTCAGGGGAGCGTGAGATGAACCGCTGAGCTGGCAGTGGTCTGTTTACCGCCCCCAGGAGAGGCCGGGGTTAGATAACCAGTAACTACATCCAGGGAAGATCCTGGCAGTGGGGWAGGGAGGGAGCAGGATGTGCATGCGGTGGAAAGCCTGGTGTTTTGGGAGCTCTTATCTCAGTTCTGCSACTGATACGGGCCCTGAACCTCAGTCAGGTCGCTTCCCACCTCGTGCCTCAGCATCCCACCTGGGAGCTGGGAATATCGTCCCTCCCCAAAAAGCAGGGAGCAGTGTGGGATGGCGCTCACTGAGCATGGGGGGATGAGGAGTGCAGCGCCAAGGCTTATGGAGAAAACTTGCCTGGGTCCTGAATCCAGGCAGCGATTTTCTTTCCATATAGCCTCTTTTCCTCAGCAAGGAATGAAGCTCAACTAACCTTTTTCCCTCCCTTTGTTTCCCCCCCTCCAGTCATCAGTAAATTTGACTAYGTCTTTGCCGAGAATGGTACCGTGCAGTACAAGAACGGGCAGCTGGTCTCCAAACAGGTAGGCCCAGCAGCTCTTGCAGACACTGCTTCCCTTTCCCATCCCCACGCTTCCCGGGAGCACCATGAGGAGCAGTCTCTGGTCCCACTCAGAAAGGCAGCCCCATCTATTCTTCTTATCGGCCGGRTTGGATCGTCCCCCTCCTCCCATATGTGTTCCTGGGGTCGAGCAAGGCCTGGGGCCTCAGCTCAGGGGCCTGGGGCCTCCCTCAGCTCTTGGCTGTGATGGGGCTCACATGTTTCCTGGCACCACCTCAGCTGTGGCCGCTGCTCCTGTTGGGCAGAAGAGCCAAAAAGGGCAGAAACAAGAACAGTAACTGTTCCTGCTCTCTCATACTCCCCTCACTGCACACCATCCACACTGGGCAGAAAAGCCTAGTCCAAAAGGCTTTGCTGTCTCTTGGCAGGCTCTTTTCCTGACAAGTTAGCCGGAACCCAGGCTTTGCATGTCTTCCTCTTCCTTACCTACTTTTCTCACCTCCTAGGCCATTCAGGACCACCTGGGAGAAGAGCTGCTGCAAGATCTCATCAACTTCTGTCTCAACTACATGGCACTGCTGAAGCTGCCCAAGAAACGGTAAAGATTCAGTCCTGTGCAAACGGGAATTGTGCCACTGATTTCTGGGGATCTCAGACCTCCAGAACCCTCTTGAGAACAGCTGGGCTGCTGAGCTCGTCTTTGCTCCAGGTCTGGCAGGCTTTAGCTTAGTATCAAGCGGCCCCACGTAGGATCAGTGTCCCGTTGAGCTGAGCAGTGCGGGCAAACCATGTAGGACAGGCTCTGCTCTGGAGGCTTTGCAGTGTTTGCCAGCATCATGCCTGCTCTTTGCACCCTCGGCTTTTCTTCCCTTGGAAACAGGGTACAGCTGCTGCGGCGTCTGTTATAAGACAATGGTGACAGCTTGTCCCTGGTGAGAGCATCAAGCGTGAGCAGCCATGTGAGGCTCCAGACAGAGGGAGCGAGGGCTGAAGTCCTCAGCAGAGAAGTCCAGAGGTTGGACACGTGGTTTCCTGCTGCGTCTAACTCGGTGTCGCTTCAAGCCACTGGTAATGAGGCTGGACCTGCTGTGATCCCAACCGTGTGCCCCTGCTCACGTCCCCTACATCAGGTCCGGCATAACGRGGCCTGGCCTGAAGCAAAAAAAGGGAGAAAAGGGTAGTGTCCACTGGATCRGCTTGCCCTATTATCAGCTTGCACCATTGCTAGATCCAGCAGAAACAAGGGAGTGGGGACAGGTGACAGGGACAGGTGGCAGGTTGGTTGTCTCCACATGCAGCCTACAGTTCAACCAGTCTGGGTGTAATGCCAAACCACCCCTCAGACTACAGTTTCATAAATGCTTGAAGCCAGTCACAGCACTTGAAGAATGGCACATAAAATGTGAGCCAGCACTGCCATTGAAATAAGACTTTCTGCCCTCCCCTCGCCCCAGCCGTCCGTGCCCGCTCTCTCCTGTGTGTTGGCACCCCCCTTTGTACAGTGAACCTGCACAGGGGAGCGATTGGCTTGCAATTAGACTTCAATGAAAATTGCTAAACTGTGATCCRAATCAGTCCTCGGATCTGAGGCACCATGAGGCAACAGGAGCCCTTGCGAGAGGGGCCGGGATGTCTGGCTCCTTTCGGCAGGAGCGCTGGCTGAACAGGCCCCTGCAACCGTGGGCTGCCCAGGGCTGTGGGGTTGCCTCACTGCTCTCTGGTTGCTCAACGCCCAACAAGGCTGCAGCTCCTAAGTGCCTCTGTGGGTTTAAMTTTGGGGATTTTCAGTAAGGCAAGGGCTTGAAGTGATGTCTCCCAAGTGCTGGCCTGGGGCAGGAGCCTCCTGAGCCCTGGCACTGCAGAGATGCTGCCCAGCAGGCTGTAGATGTGACTGCCTGTGTCTCCTTCCTCCTTCAGTGTGCTCTAAGTCAGGATACGAGTTGAAGGGAGGCTAGATCCAGCGCTCCATCACAGAGCAGGCAGGCCTGGAAGGGACGTCGGAAGGCTAGTGAGCGTAGGACTCCTCTGCTGGAAAGGGATCTTCATTCTCCAGCTAGGTTTCTACAAGAGCTTTGAGTCTATTTTCCAACTGACTGTGCTGTCCTCCCTTGATGTTAGCAACAGCAGTGCTGGCCCTGGGCTGCACCCTCTGAAAGCTATTCCAGGCTACGAAGTCAACAAAACTGGCCTGGTTTCTCACAGAGAGAAGAGAAGGGAGTATTTTTCTGCCAGCCTGTGGAGGGACTGGCAGAGCAGCAGTATCAGTGCAGGGTAAGGGTGGCAAGCAGGACATTGTCCTATCTGTGCAAGCTAGGATAAGAACCATGGTGAAAGGTGTAGAGAGGGAAAGTCAAGAGACACAAAGGTCTTGCAGGTCCTACCTGATGATTATCTCTGGAAGAGATGGTGATTGCTCATCAGCCAGCACATTGCATCAGGAGTGTGTTACACCAACCTGCTCCATCCTACTGCCTCAAGGCACCGTGAGCTCCACCCAACTCATCTACCACAGATAAAAGTTTCTGAAAAGCCTCCCGGATGGAGATGCCACAGTCTCGACAGGTAGTTGGTACAGTCTGGATCATAGCTGTCCTTGCAGTTGTTAAAACAATAGAAAGTGTTCCCTAGCCTCTCACCTCAGTCCATTGCCTCCAGTTAGTCCCCAAGATACACACACACACACACAGACACACACACACAAAAAAAGGGCTTATTTCTCTTCTTTCAGTCTCCTTTCATAAAACTATGAGCCTCTGGGAGAGCTTAAGTAGAGTTGTTGAAGCCTGGCCTTGGTCTGCTGCCACAGGCCTCTTGGCCATCTTCAAGGCTCTTGATCTCTTGATGCACAAGCAGCTATGGGAGACACAGCTTGTTTCCCACTGCATGTTTCTGCAGACTCTGAGTAGTCTTTCCCTTGGAAAAGTCTGTTTCTCTCAGCCTATCCCTGTTGTGAAACCCTCCATAACCCTGTGCCTTTGCCTGCATACAGAGGGACCTTCATTGAGTTTCGCAACGGGATGCTGAACATCTCCCCCATCGGTCGGAGCTGCACCCCGGAGGAGCGAATCGAGTTCTCCGAGTTGGACAAGGTGTGCGGGCCTGTCCTGGGCTCACCCTCCCCTTCTCTGCTGGTCTTGCACCATCACAGCTCTTAGGGCCTGCTGCTTCTCCCCTGCCCAAGGGAAGGATCCCAGCTCCAAGCTGCGCGGCAGGCCAACACGCGCAGCAAGGTGGAGGCAGGATTGCTGCTCAGAAAGTCTAAGGAGAGATATAGATAAAGGGGAGAATTTAGCTTTGTTGGGGGTTCCCAATGCAATGAGGCTGCCAGCAGTGTTCCTTGTGATGCAGGAGACTCCCAGCGACGGAGACACGTATTTCACAGGGGGTTCCTTGTGCACAACAAAGATGGAACCCGCCTAAAAACCTCAGAGAGCCCCAAGCTTCCCAGSACAGGCTGCCCCGCCAGGATGGCCCAGGAGCCCTCTTGCCTCTCCCGCTGACCTAGCCCTAAAAGACCTGGAAGACCTGGAACCAGTGGCCTGGGAGGGCCATGGCAGATCCCTGAAGTGTTTAGCCTGCCCTCAGAGCAGTTTCTACCTGTGGGAGCCTTCTTGGGAAACAGGGATCAGGCAGATGTTGCAAGACATGTAAACAAAGCCAGAAACTTTGGGTTGGGAAGCTGACTTCTGGGAAGCTGAAGCAGCGGCATTTCACTGCCAAGGGATGTGTGTGGTCTGCTCTTCCCAGTAGCCTGCTGAAGCTGGCCTAAGCTAGCGTCCTTATAAGCAGAGCATGGGGCTGCTTATTCCAGCAGCGTGGGTGAAAGCTGCTTAAACAGCGTCCAGCTCCCAAGGAGGAGGGGATTGCACCCTGGGAACTGAAGCCATCAGCAGAATGGCCATTCAGGATCCTGCAGAACACAGAGAGTTCCCGGGGCACTCTGGAAGTGGAGAGCGGGAGTGGGGTCAGAGCAGAGAAATGCACCGGAGCTGGTGCCCAGTGAGCTCCTTTCAACAGACTGGCAACATCCAGTTATTCATTCAGACCCCTCTATTTTTCCTTCTCTGTAGAAAGAGCGGATCCGGGAGAAGTTTGTGGCTGCTCTGCAGAGGGAGTTTGCCGGCAAAGGCCTGCGCTTCTCTCGAGGTGAGCAGGGGGTGYAACCCCGGCTTCGCGCTGGCCTCTCTACTCTGTGTCCCCTTAAATTCTGGGAGAGGGAGCAGGGATMTTGGCTCTTCCCTCCAGGGGCTTGGTTGGAGCTGTGCTTCCCGGRGGAGCTTCCATTCCTGCGGAGCTGTTCCAGGGGTGTCGCGTCCACCGCAGGGCAGTGGGCAGGGAGCAAACCGTGGATGTTGTTCCCAGGGAATCGGCCGTGCAGAGGGGTTTCTGCCCGGCGGTGTTTTCCATGCCTCTCCCAGCCTTGTTCTGTTCCAATGTGTCTGCTTTGGCTCAATCAGGAGCGGCAGGGTAGCCGGCGGAGCTCCAGGCATGTCCCGGCCTCCGCGGGGCTCCCCTGGGAATGCAGCGGGATGAGCGAGGAGGGAGCCTCGCGCGCTGCTGCGCTCCGGGAATCTGCAGCTCCGTGGCCTTTTGCAGGGCCGCTTCTCGGGCCGGAGCTGCACTTCTGCAGCCGGCTTAGCAGGGTGAGGAAGGGCAGGAGGGGCTCAGCTGTGCTGGCAATGGACGAGGAGGATAACGAGGTTCTGTAAGTGGTGGGGCTRAACTGGGAAGAGACTCTTGGCGGAGAGGGCGGGCGTGTGTTAACATAAGGAGGTCCTGCGTGGAAATCCAGCCAGAGGACAAGGGGGTGACGGGGCTGGTGACGCTCCGCTCCTGGCCCTGCCTGTACAGAGCTCTTGGCCCTGTGGTCTTCCGAGAGCATCCCCCATCCCGAGTGTTCCTCCCCTCTCCCCTCAGCATCCTGCCAAGAGTGTCCTGTGCAGCCTGCAGCATCGACACGGGCTGTTTGTCAGAGCAGAGGAAGCCAAAGGGCCCTCGGCCGTGTCCGAAGGACGCAGGGGACAGGGGCAGGGCAATGGGAAGGTGATGGGAGCTGCAGGTTACCCTGCAGAGGAAGCACGGGGTGGCTCGGGTCAGGCATCCAAAAGCAAGGATGGGCCTCTGGTGAGGCTCCCAGGGCCTCATCATGGGCTTGGAGGGCACGAGCCCCGGAGGTGACGGGGCTCTGGGCGCCGTGCCTTGCTCAGAGCAGGGGCAGTGCTTGTGGTCCTCGCTGCAGGCCTCCCTCCCGCTCTGTCTGATTTTCCCCCTGCTGCAGCTGCGTCAGGAGCCATGCTTGCTGCGCAGCTCTATTGGAAAGGACAGAACCCAGAGAAACGCTGCATTTTTCATAGGTAATAACTCTGGATAGCAAAAGAGGAAGGGCTTTGAGAGCACTGTCCCAGAAAATGGGTGTTCAGGGTTATTTCTCGCTCTGCTGCAGGCTCCAYGTGAGCCTGGACCGTTCCTGATCCCCTAGGGCACTTGCCTTGATCCTTGCCTGGATCAGCCAGGCTCCTGGTGAATCCCCTGCCCCGTGCTGGGYGTGCAGGCTCCTTCCCCTGTGCATGGGGAACGGGCAGCACGTTCAGGACCCCAACCCCTCTTCCAGCAGCAGGAAAGGGTTGGCTTCAAAGCTCTCTCCCACAGGACACGGAGCACCCCAGGGGATGGGGATGTGCTGCGTGGGCACAGTGAGTGCCCCAAGGCGGAGCAGGGGTGACATGGTCTGACSCAGGGCCGGCTTCTGACCCGTTTAGACTGTGCTGTGCATGCGGGTGTTCGCCCGTGTGTGTGCCCCCCGGGAAAGCTCCCGCACCGCCGCGCCTCTGCCGTGGCACTCCGAGCGCGCAGCCAGCGCGGTCATTGCAGAGACATCAGGGAGAGCCGCACGGGAGCCCAGYGCGCAGCCTGATGCCCAAATCCCTCTGCGGACGGACACGGACTCGGCGCCCGCTCCTGCCGCACGCCGGGGGCCGAGCGCGTCGGCGCGGATCAGTGAGGCCTAATCCCCGCCTGGGCGCCCTGCAGAGCCGCGTGTCGCGCTCCCCGCCGTGCCCGCCGGCTGCCGCTGCCACCCGCGCCAGCCGCGCGCGGATGTCACCGCAGCCCTGCTGATGTCACCCCCGCCGGTTGCCATGGAAACAGCACGGTCCYGTCACGGGCTGCCGCGGAGGCGGGTGGAGGCCGCGGTGCTGGAGGGTGCCCCGCGCGCACCCACCCCCAGTCCCGAGCAGGGGTCTGGCCGCGCCGCCCGACGCTTCTCGCCCTGCTCGCAGGGGGCATGATCAGCTTCGACGTCTTCCCCGAGGGCTGGGACAAGCGCTACTGCCTCGACGTGCTTGACGACGAGCRCTTTGACACCATCCACTTCTTTGGCAACGAGACGACCCCCGTGAGTATCCCCAAGATGGAGCCTCCATCTCCTTTCCAAATGCGCGCCGTGCCGAGCTGCTCCCTCGCTGCTCCCTGTGCTGGAGCCTCTGCCAGTGGCCGACAGACCTCTAGCGGTGCGGGAGGAGAGATGCTGTCGCCTGGGCACGTTTGCAGCGGGCTCGTAATGTTTGCAAATCCATCTGCATGGTGCCAAAATCACAGTGGATTTGCTGTGCTAGGTCTGCATCGGAGGTGCTTGCCCCGCTGCAGCACACGCTGGTGGTGTCAGACCTTCCTGGGGCCACCAAGACCCAGAAGTCAAGCCCCAAACACCAAAGAGAGGCTTTTCAGGAATGACTCTGCCTTCCCTTTAGCCTGGTGGGGGGCGATGCTTTCCTGCTGCTTAGCCACCCACTTAGTGCTTTCCCTTCCAGATGCTGCCAGACGTGCCCACCCCATCTCCTGGTAGACCCTTCATGAACAGGGCTGGGGTTGCCCCTGCCCTCCCAGACAAGCCGTGCTGGCCTAAGACCTTCCCGGCCTTCCCAGGGGATGCAGTGCTCTCCAGCACTCCAAGGTGGCCCAGAAGAGGGGCAGCAAGGGGGCGGGAGCCAGTGCATGGGTAGCGGGGGATCCAGCAGAGCTTGAGCAGCCCGTTCCCGCAGGGCTGCTGCCTGCCGGGATGCTGCACGGGAACGTGCTCYCAGCCCAGCACCGGGAGACCTGCCCTGCAGCAGCAAATGGAGGCTCCAGGCAGGACAGAACACTCTGTGGGCTGCTGGAGGAGGCCCCAGCGAGGCTTTGCTAACGTTTTCSCTGTTTTCTCCTTCAGGGAGGGAACGATTATGAAATCTATGATGATCCCCGAACAGTGGGACATAGTGTCCAGTGCCCCCAGGACACCGTCCAGCGCTGCCGCGAGATCTTCTTTCCAGAGAGAGCTAATGAGTGCTGACTGGGAGATGCCTGCAGCCCTTCTCCGCCACTCTCCTCCCCCATGAGGAAAAGCACCTTCACTTGGGAAATCTGCTCAGGGTAGACTGGAAGGCACTTCCAGAGGCGGTGGGGATTTAGTGTGTGAATGCGGGTGGGCGTGCAGAAGCGGGGCTCCGTTGTTCAGCCCTTCAGCACACCCCATCTATGGCTGGGCAAGAGAGAGGCCCAGTCTCCAGAAAAACTCTTCTAGTCTAGGCCTGGGTGGGAGGCAATAGCTGCTTTCTTGATCTGAGAGCATTTGAAATGGTTAGTCATGACAGTGTGCGTGTCCCTCTCTTGCTCCCTCCCCCTTTTCTCTTCTTGCTCGCTCTGCTTGGCTTAACATTGCTGCACAAGGGAATGTGCATCTCGCATCTCTCTCCCTCTTTCCCTTTGACAGGGAGGACGGCTGTGCTCGGGCTCCAGGCACTCTCTGGGGAAGCAAGGTGCAGTTTGCTCCAAGCCCCTGGTAGGAAGGGACAGCAGCCACCCCAGCTTGTTGCAGTGACATCCTAGCAGAGAGGGACAAGGTGTCCGCATTGTCCCAAGCCATCGGGGCCTGTGTGCATCCCTCACCTCAGCTCCACGCAGGGACAGTCCTTACACTGGCCTAGGAATTGATTTTTTTTTTAAATGGCTGTGCTCCTACTCTGGGTTTTGCTCAGGTGCCTGAAGAAACTGGTGAACCTCATGGCAGAAGAGTGGCTGCAGTGGGCTTCATGTCCTGCAGAAGCTGCCAAGGCTGCCAGCTGCACTGGCTGGAGGACCCCAGGTGTTTGGTGAGCGTAGGGCACTTTATGGGAAGACAGGGCAGACACCAGCAGTCTTCTCACCCACACACATGTTGTTCAGGCGTTGGAGCCTCTGATGTGCCAGTTCCCAACCTATCCAAGGTATCCGTAACAGAGACTAATCTCCTTCCTTTCCTGTTATGTCCTTCTCCAAGATGTCTTCAGAGATGACCAGTAGAGCCCAGGACTGGTTCCTAGTGCCAGTGGATATATGTACTTCAGCAGTACCGTCCAAACCTGCCTTTCCCACTACCCCTTCCCTACCCTCTCACTTCACACGGCCGGCCGCCTTTAGGGTGGCAGTGATTCAGAGTGTCTCTCACATGTCCTCATCTCCTTTCTTCTTCTGGGTCTTCATGCGTGGCAAAGCTAAACCTCTCAGTGTCCTCCCCCTCACACTGCCCTGGCTGTCACGCTGGGGTGGCCCTCGTCACAGCTCGGTGCTCAGCGAGACACTTGGGGACCCTCGCCAGGGAGGTGCCCTCCKTACAGCTGCCTGGGGGACAAGTACCCGCTGTTTGTGCCCCAGAGGTTCCTGCAAAACCTCACCACGTTGGAAGCTTTTCTCACCATGTCCCTGCCAATGTCACTGTCCCCGCTGAGCTGTTACTGTCTTCTGTATTTCCTCTTGTTCCTACTTCCCTTGCACTCCAACTGCCTCTCCCTTGTAGCCCAGTTGCTCTTTGCACCTAGTAGATGGGCCGCAGAGAGAGATTTCCCAGCTGGCTACCACTTAACCAAGGGACCAAGTTGCTCAGACAAGACACGTTGGTGCTTTTAGATCTGGGRCATGGCAGGAGCCTGAGTGGACCTYGGTACACTCGCCTGGCCACGGTCACAAGAGCAGGGTGCTGATGGCCGGCACTGTCAGGGTGCTTTTCTTCTCCATTTGACCCTACCTCCTAACTCCACAACCCATCAAGTCTCTAATGCATCGAGTCTGCATGAGTGCGTTGGTCTGCCAGGCATCCAGCCATCCCCAACGGATGCACCCGCTCCTCCGTCCACCCAGACAAAATTTCTGAGTGGGAGAAGAGGGCCTGTTGGAGAAGCCTGACACGTTTTTAGACCACAGACCACTGTTTTTAGCCCTCTGGGGCAACCTTCATGGAGGAGTCAAGTTTTGTGGTTCTTCCTTTTCTGTTTAACTGTGGATCAGGTTACATGTGGTTTTCTTGTTTTCTTTTGCATTTTTCTTTTTGTTCTTTTTTTTTTTTCTGTTTTGTTCTTTTTTTTTTTTGTTTTCCTGTGAGTGTATCCCAAGTCAGCAGGATCTCTGGAGAGCTCCATGGTGTTGGCGGCCAGGCTCTGACCCTAACGGTGCAAGACATCACGGCGGCCCTGGGGCCTGAGCTGACAAGTGCACGTGAAGGGAGAAGCAGGCTCTGTCCCACACCGCTCCCGGTGGCATTGCTGGGTGTGGGGATCAGGAAGTTTTCCCTTTCCCAGTGTCCTCGGCATTACCCTGAGCTCAGGCTAGTGGGGAGCACGTCCCGCCAGGAGATCCCTGTGTTCCTGGAGGGAGAGGAGGGGGAATCGCAAACCCTGTGGATCCCTGGGTCTCGAGGCACTGAGATGCTGCTATGGAGGTGGCTGAACACTGGATGTGGCACGAGGCCACTGGGAAGCAGAGGGGCTCCCCAGGATGCCCCCATGGAGCAGCGGAGGCAAGAGCGGGTGCTCCGTGGTGCTGAGGATGCGCGGGGAGGATTTCCCGGCGTGAGCGGGCGGGTGTGGGGGCCCCGCAGTGGGATCCGTGTGGCCGTGCGGTTCTGTATCCCTGCGGACGGACAGTTCCTGTCTGACTGATGCTAACTGTTAAATAGGAAATATATTTAAACACAGGTATATATATATTATATATATATAAAATCAATCCCATTAAAGCTGTCACACCCATGGAGGGAGCGTGTGTTTTGTGCCAGGCTCTGCTCCGGCCCCTGAGCGCTGGGGACAAGTGGCAGCAAGGGGAAAGCACTGAGCCCTGTGGCCAGCGAAGGGGACCTCGATACCCCTCATGGCTGGAGAGGCTCCCGCTGCTCCTGCGTCACACCAGCCTCGCGCTCCCACCTGCTGCTCCCACCGTCCACGCTGGCAGCCCTCCGGCCCATCCCGTCCTGTCCCGCGGCGCGCGCGCACACAGAGCCAGCGCCGGCAGGGCACGCGGGAGAGTCACTTTTAATGGATTATTGCCAACGTTACAAAGGTCGACACGAGGCCAGACAGGCGGGAACCACACCAGAGTTGTAAAAACACCAACAATTCTAGGGGTTTAGTTTATTTCCAAAAAAAAAAAAAAAGAAAGAAAATTCAATGTTTGTCTTGGCCAAGCTGCCCGCGTGTCCGGGGAGGCCGGAGCCGGCGCGGTATCGCCGGAGCTCCGGGGAATGGCCGTGGTTCACTCGGCAGCGGGTGGAGGTTTGGGGGAGCCAAGGCAGCCGGGAGCAAGTCCGGGGTTCGGGGCGGCAGGGTGCCCGATCCGCATCGCCCGGAGCCGTCCCGCCCCACGCTGGGTGGGGTGGCCGTTGCCCCCCTGTTTTTCTTTTCCCCCGTCATGGCAGACCCCGCTGCTGCCGCAGAAAGGTTGAAAATGTAAAACGTGCCCRTTTGGCAGTGGCTGTGCTGACTTTTGCCCAGGCCCTCGGTCAGGCCTCTGCTCCTCGTGGTGCCAGCRGTTCCCACAGGGAACCAGGGAATGGTCCCCGTCCTCCCCACTCCTCCGGAGCGCCGGGGTCCGCGTGGCCAGGACGTGGYGGAGAAGACCAAAACTCGACGGTTGTGCTTCATACACGAGACCCTGTCTACACCAAGGGGGCAGGGGGAGTCCGCGGGCGGCCCGAGCCGGGGAAGGCACCGCGGCGGGGGCTGCGAGCGCCCCGGCCCGCCGGCCCCTCTCCTGCTGCCCCACGGCAAACTACAGACACACACACACACACACACACACGTGGAGGGGCGTTCCCACGGGGCAGCGGGGACGGGGACGGGAGAGGGGAAGGAGCCGTGGCCCCCAAAGCCAGCTCAGCTCGGTCCAAGGACAGTGCGTCGGCTGCCGCACACGGCCACGGGGGACATGAGTGCAGCCGGGCTCAGCCCCATGGCGCCGGGGGCTGCTCAGCTCCTGGGCTCGSTCTCAGCACTCGGGGCAGCAGTGACAGGGCCGCCGGCCATCCCCAGTCACCGCTGTGGGGACACACGTGCCCGTGGGGCTGGCAATGGGGACTGGCCAGCGCCTGCAGCGAGCGGAGCCCCCGTGCACCCCAGAGCACTTACCCTTGAACGCTGGGTTGCTTTTCCCCTTAAAACTCATCTTTTTCCTTCTTTAAGCCACTCTGCTTTTCTCTTCTTGCCTCTGGAGCTCATGGGGCAGCACGTCCCCATCTCAGGGCATCACCAAGGGTTGAGCCCCGCCAGGCCCCCGTGGGGATGTGCGTGCTCGGCGGCACCGAGCGCCCCCAAAAGAGCCCCGCAAAACCTGAGGCACCCCAGGATTTATAGGAAATAACCCACTGCTRGTCCGGATGGTGCCCGTTCCTCCTGCCTCTCGCTCTCCCGGTCTGAGCTGGTGGAGACGTTAAAAACAGACTGCAAAAACTAACACGGAAACGAGTCACCCTTCTCCCGGCCGAGTGACAGACCCAAGTTCCGAGCGACAGGGAAGGGAGCGGGAAGGACTCGGCGGCCCCCATCCCAGCTCCGTGAAGCTCAGCTCCGCACGCGGCCCTGGCACTTTCCYGCACCACATCCCTGGGGACCGGGGTGCTGCGGGGGCGGCCGAATCGTGGGGCAGCGGGGTGCCGGGGAGGGGGCACAGAGGGTGGGACAGACAGACAGACATTAAGGAAACGGTAACGGTATAAAAGACAGCGGCCGCAGGCACCGACGTGCCTTGGGGCAGCCCCGGCCGCCCCGGCTCCGCGCTCACCGCGGCGCCCCGCGCGGCCGCCTAGGAGCCGATGATCTGGCCGGACCACGTCTCGTGCTTCGCGTGGGGCGCCAGGTTGGTGAGCACCACCTCCACGGCCTGCAGCTTCTGGTTCTTGGGCGGGATGGGGCACACTTTGTACGTCACCTCGTCGCCCTCCACTGGCACGTACTCGCCCTCGATGCTGGGGGGAGAGGACGGGCCGTGGGGCCATGGCACGGACACCCGGCCTGGCCCCGCGCTTGCCTGGCACCACATGCTGTGYGTGGGCACCCGGATTTGTGCACCCTGCGGGTGTCCCCCCACCCAGGACTTACTCGGAGACGTGAACAAAAATGTCCTCTGTGCCATTCTCGGGGGTGATGAAGCCGTGGCCCTGGGAGCGCGAGAACTGCTTGCAGACGCCCTTGAAGATGGGGCCGGCGGAGGCACGAGCCGTCCTGCAGGAGGGGAGAGAGCAGGAGAGCTCATCCGGGAGCACGCCGGGCACGCGCCGGCACCGGCATCGGCATCGCGCCGAGCAGCTCAGCCATGAGCCGCCACGGCAGGTTTCCTAAAGAATAATTAAAATTGGGGCATTTCTTCCCCACGAGGAGCTGTGGGACGGCACCACTCACACATTTGGGATGCAGAAACYCCTTGACCCAGTGCACTCCTGCACATTCCCAAACAAACAACACAGCCAGGCCTTCTCACCGGAGACAAGTAACACCACCAGGCCTGCCCAGAGCCCACGGGGCCTTCCTCACGGTGAGGAAGGCCAAGTTCCCATGCCCAAGGGCTACTTACGCCGAGTACGTCCTGGTCCTCTTGGTGGGCAGCGGGCTGGGCAGGTCGCGCAGCAGGAGGTTGCCGCGCTCCCACACGCGGCTGCCCTCGCGCTGGAAGGGGAACGTGGGCCACACGGGCGACTTGGGCGAGTGCAGCGGCGGCACGGCCGGCGGCGCGCCGGGCTCGGACGACATGGCGGGGCCGGCGGGAGGCTCCGTGGCGGCAGCAGCGGGGGCCCCGGCTCACGGCCGCGCGCCGCGGCGGCCTCCGACCTGGCGAGGAGCGAGGGAGAAGCCGTGAGCAGCCCCGCGGCCGCAATAACAGCAATAACAGCAGTAAGAAACACCACATAATTCAAGAGATTTTTGCAGCAGCTTTTGCCAGGCGTTAACTGCCCTGCTCAGGAGAAACGCTGTCCTCTCGCCGCTGCAAAGCCYGTCTCCAGATGCTTCACTGCCATCGGTCTGGCCAGCAGCAGTAGCTGAGGTTTTTCCCCAGAAGACAAGGTACCTCACTCCTAAAACCATCTCCACGCTCTGACACAGCTCTCCTAGCCATGGAAAACTGCTTAGCAGTACCCAGCGCCCTCGCTGTCATTTTGGGGCACCAGAAAATCTCACCTGTGCTAGCAAACCAATGTGGAAATGCATCASTAGGGGAGAAGAGGTGGTTATGCCCATTTTTCTTACCTGAGAAGCAGGCGCCAAGGCAAGGGTGATCCCTGGTGYGTGGTTCAAGCCCTAACCCCAGCCCCAGACACGCCTGCCCGTAATGGCACAGGGAGGCTCTCGCAGAGCCCTCGTCACTGTGCGCACAGTGTTGAGTGCCCTGCTGCCACCCTTGGTAGCAACACATGGCCAGGAGCCTCCTCCCTCCCCACTGCCCCAGGCACTCCCCATTCCCGGCAACAACYCTCATCAGCGGGCCCAGTTTTTACCAGGACTTCAGGGTTTGGCAAAAAGTTACACTCTTACCCCAAATAGAGCGAACCCCCTGCCCTGGCCTTGCAAGAGGCTTTGCAGCCCTCGTGCTAGAGCGGAGCGGGGCAGACCCGCGCCGGCACCGCGGCTGCGTCGCTGCCGAGGCAGCCGTGGGGCAGGCGCTGCAGGACGCCGGGCACCGCGGCCGCGCGCTGGGGCTCCGGCAGCGGCGCTCCCGGCAGTTCCGACGCGCTGGGGCTYCRGCAGCGGCGCTCCCGGCAGTTCCAACAGCCCCTCCTCAGCTCTCGGATCCCCTTTCCGTCTGCTTCAGGCCGAGCTCCCTGACACCGGCACAGAGGGCTGCTCCGGGACTTGTCCACCAGGTCCCCGGCCAGGGGCTTCCCCGTGCCCCCGAGTGGAGCAGCGTGTGCCCTGCATCGCGCTCGCCGTCCCCAAGTCCCCACAGGGCTGCGTGGTGCCTTCAGAGCTCACCCTGCCAGACGTGCTTCATGCTCCACAAAACCCAGAGGGTTTCTGGGTTTTATACATGTGCTTTCTGACTCATTCGCGGCCCCTGGAGAAGTGGAGTCCTTGGGGAGCGTGCGGAAGGGGGTCACCTCCATGCCAAAAATAGCAGGCACCAAGGGCACAGGAGGCACTTTCTGGAGCAGCTGCGGGTTCAGGCAGGACACGCAGGCAGCTTGTCCTCCCTCACCACGCACACACACTCACCCAGACCCCAGCCCCAGCCCGGCTGGGGCTCCATCCACATCTAGCTGTCGTTGTAGCAGCACCGCTCATGAGCCTTGCAAAGCCTGAAGGCAGGTGGCTCTGCTCCTTCCACCCTGGCCAATGCCACCTTTCCTGGGGAGCCTGGCTCCTTTGGGCGCTGGGGTACCCCGGAGCTCCAGAGAAGCGCGACGAGTTGGGGGATCCAGCCCTCRAGCCCAGGTGACGTTGTGGCGCTGCCACCACAGGGATTGCCGGATTCTCCAAGGCAAAACAAAGATAAGAGAAGAACAGGAAGGCAGGAAGGAGGCAGGGGAGCCCGGCAAAGACAGAATGAGCATGGTCCRGGCACAAGAAGGGACAGCAGAACGGGGCTTGTGCCAGAAGGGCCTGGTTTACCCTTGGGACCAGCCTTGGCCAGAGGCCCAGGGGCGCCCCAAGAAGCTCTGCGGCTCAGGGGAGCCCCTGGCACCCGCACTGGATGGGGACTGGCGCACGGAGAGCCAGGGCGCTCCCAGATCCGGCCCAACGCAACGCGGCGACCGCGGCTCCCCAGCCACGCGGCAAATCCTGTGCTGCTGCCGCCACTGAGGCAGGCAAGAGAGGAGGTGCTCGCACAGGAGGCCTCGTGCTGTAGCTGCTGCCAAGACAAGACCTGAGGCTCCAAGCCTCCTGCTTCCCGTCTATTCCCACCAAGCAGCACGAGCACTGGCGGCTGCTCAAGTCTGCTTCAATGTGAGCCGGTGGGAACTGTCTCGGCAGCTCATGGAAGAGGAAATCACCCCTGCCTGGGGCCACTGAGCCTTGCATGGGGCTGCTGTGACCACCCTGGGCACCCTGCGAGGGACACCGGGACCCCTGGACCAGGGAGCTCCGCTCGCTGTCATGCAGCAGGAGCGGGACGCCATGGCTCGGGGAGACATCCAGGCACGCGGGTCTCCCGGATCAGCGGAGAGCTCCTCTCACCCTCTACCACCAAGCTTGCTCTGAGATAGGCGGTGGTGCAGGGGGGCCCGTGGGGTGCTCCTGGCAGGGCAAGCTGCCCTTCTCCACTGAGTGACCTGCATTTGCCCCACAAGCTCGGCACTTTTGCCCGGGGACACAAGAGGCACCCTGGGGKGCTCCAGCTGTGCCAAAGAGGGGCAGCCATGGAAATGCGTCTCTACTGCATAGGTTTCTTGCCCCAGTGCGGGGACATTCTGTTAGAAGAGAGAAACCCTGTATAGCAAAAGGAAGACCCTTAAGCCTGACAGTGGCTCATCATGGATAGGGATGAGAGTGGGGACATAGGTGCATGGAGGCAGTGGGATCTCCATCCCCAGAGATATGCAGCGTCTGCCTGGGTACGGTCCTGAGCAACCTCCTCCTACTTGGAAATTACATYTAGATTTGAAACAGTGAGAGGGAAGGGTTGGAGCAGAGACCCCCAGGTCAACCTGCATTATTTCACATTTCTAGGTGGCAAAAAGGGAGGAAGTGACAGGGGATTCCTCTTGCATGGTGTTTGCACATCACGTTATCCGAGGTCTTGTGTGGGGTGCACCRCCCCAGACACCCACAGAGCGCCCTGGTTTGGAGCCAACCTTTGTGCCCAAGGCTACGGCCAGGCTGGTGCCTCTCCGGCAGCGAGACGGAGCGGGAGCGTTGGCACGAGGGGCGCTCCGRCGCCATAGCCAAGCTCCAGCCTCATTTAAATCCCCGCAGCAAACAAAGGAACCGGGGAAATTAAACTCATGGCAAGGAAGGGCTGGGGGAAGCGGGGAGCTGTGAGCATGTCATCTCCGGAGTCTCCTCCCCTTCCAGGGGAGCCGGAGCGGCTCCCAGCCCTCCCTGCCGTGCGCCCCACATCCCGGCGGCTGCATCGCCCTCCGCGCAGCCCTAGCGGGCGACACGCAGCAGGCKCTGGGGCAGCAGAGGCTCTTTTCCCGTCTCTCCCATTGCTGGCATTTGCTCCAAGCTCTGACCGGGGCTGAGAGCCTCCTGCACGAGCCCTGGCCTGGAGAASGGGCACCACGGACAACCCGTGCTCCGGCACGCACCGGGTCCATCCCGTGTGCGTGCGGATGAAATCCAGGTCACCCGAGCGGCCGAGGACAGCGGGATGCAGCCGGCTGGGCCGTGGGGCGCCAGAGGGCTTCCCTGCACAGCAACCGGCCACCGTGCACCTCCATCCCATCCCATCCCACCCCATCCCACCCCATCCCTTGCTCCTCCTTCTGCAGGTCACGGCTTCACCCTGGTGCCGAAGGCAACAGCCCTCGGAGCCCAGGACGTTGCTGAGACCACCCTTGGGCGCCAAGGAGGATGCCCATGCACCCACCCTCCTCCCCAGAGATCTAATCCACCAATGAAGCCCCCGGCCCCCAGAGCAAAACTGCTATTTTTGTTTCCTTTCTCAGGTGCCCCGGTGGCAGAGAGCGGCTTTTGTGTTTTTCCAAGGGAGCGTTTGGGAGCGGGGCTGACAGGCAGCCGCGCTCCGTCAGAGACTACGCAAAACCCAGGCCAATTAACGCCGACAGGCACTAGACACATCGCCTTTCATCTGGAGATCCAAGCGCCCCATTCATCACGCTGCCCTCAAAGGGCTGCCGGGTGTCAAACTGAAATCCCTGTCTCCCTCGCTCGCTCTCGCCCCCGTTTCCACTCAAAACGCCGTGACTCAGGCGCTGGCTGTGACCCCGTTTAACCAAACACCCTGTCAGGCTCCCCGGGAAGGGGAAGGAGCCCTTGGAAGAGGCACCGGCCTCGCTGCTCCTCCCTGCCCGCTGCTCCCCAGGCTCTCGCGGCAGCGAAGGAAGCCCCCCAGACGTCACTCTGGAGCACATATTTAAGGGGCTCCGTGTCCTCAGCGGCTCTTCTTTGTGCTCTCTCCGAGGGGCTGGGGGGGCTCGAGGGGCTGTGACGCTCTGGGCCCTCCCGGCTCGCCCTGGGCYCCCACATCCACGGCAAAGCCGGCGAGGTGCCGTGCGCTGCCGGCCGCCCTCACGGCCCCCTCTCCCCAGCATTCCCGCTCCCTCGCCGCTGACCGCCTGGGGCTTGTTTTCCCGCTGCTGCTTTTCCCAGCAAGGTCTCACTCCCTGCCTCTCTGTTGCCTCTTCCCCAGCTGCCGTGAGCTCCAGAGCCTCTGGTTTAGGAAGCGGGGGCTTGCTCGGGTTTCCCTTCCTCAGGGGTAGGGATAAAAGGGAGCATTTTCCGCAGCCACCTCCCAAGCCCTTGCGGGGTCGGGAGCAGCGGCAGCCGTTTGCTGGCCCGTCGCCATCCTCATCCTCGCCTGCTGCCATCCTCATCCTCGGGGAGGCCGGTCCCCGCCGCGAGCCCGCGCCGTCTAGACGGCGTCTGAACAAGCGAGCGAGCGAGCGAGCGAGCGCCCTCCCTGCACACGCAGCGCGGCGCCCGCCCCGCCACGGCGGCCGCAGACCCGGCGCCACGGAGCTTCCCCCCGGCACCGTGGAGCTTCCCCCCACGGAGCTTCCCTCCATGGAGCTTCCCGCCGTGGAGCTTCCCGCCGTGGAGCTTCCCTCCATGGAGCTTCCCGAAGCGGCCTGGTTAAGCACGGAGGTTCT